CTCTTGCTCATGGATTGATGTCACAGTTCATTTCATTCTCCTATCGCTACTATATTCTCGTGAATACTCGAACACCGACACGGCTACAGCTGACCGCCATTTGCCTGCTCGTTTACATGCCTTCGTTCTTTCTCTATGTGAGTGTTTCTCTTCGCATTTTCAATACACCTCCTCCAAAACGGATGATTCTTCCAAACTGAGAAGGGCATAACTAAAAGCTCCCGTGTTCTGACGGTTTGGCTTTGTTAAGGCAAAGAGGGCTAAGCGATTAGTGCCCTTACCGCGCATTGTGCGCAACGGGCTTGGCACGCTCTCGGTAGGTATGGACATTACAATTTCCATCGCGGTATCCTTCAAACTACTGACTAACTAATACCGAGCTTGCCTTTAAGCGCTGCTGTACGAATCAAGAAATCAAATGTGTTCTTTGTTCAGGTCGTCAGCCTTACTCACAGCACTGATCCTGACACGTTACGGGAGATGGTATTACGGTACCATCCAAGTTATAATCTCGACGAGTATACGATATCAGGGCCATTGTCCATTTACCGAGCCGTTTCGTCTTACTGTCGTTCTCTACCTCATTATACCAAATATACCTCTGTATATATTGATATGCGTGCTCCGAAGAAAGACATACCATATCCTCCAAAATTCTGCCGTCAGACTGAGGAAATGTAACCGACGTCTTCACATGCAACTGATGAAGGCAAGTTTCTGTTAGTAAAGCTAGCCACTCAACAACGGCTATTTAGGGGGGGGGGGGGGGGAGAGAGAAAGCTCACCGGCGGCGCGGACGCGAGCGCGTGCCGGTGACGTCAAAATGACGTCGCAGCTGCGGCAGATTCGAAGGAAGGGCGAGCAGTGGCCAGCGCCGCTGCCACTTTGCTTGAATAAAAGCTGGGTTTCTGGCACTATACCAACTTGTTCAGTTGTGCCGCGAGCGAAATGATTGGGTTATGTTCAGGTGAATTCCTTGCTCTGTTTCACTATGTAGGACCTCAAGGAAAAACGTAGCGGAGGTTGATCGTGAACTACGTCCTACATCGTGAATAACATTTAAAGTCGCTCGCTAGTTCAGATCTAAGGAATCGTGTTTTGTATTTCTCGGGTTTCACGCGCTTCTGTTTCCATTGTAACTACATATTTCTATCTAATGCGTATGGTAGTGACCTTTCCTTCATCACTGATATGCCCTTGATAATCGGATAATGTAAAGAGATGATAAGACTCGTACGTGTAAGACAGTTGCTCAAGTAGGACCAAAATAAGAATGGGAATAGGATCAATGTTTGAAAAAAGGGTGGGCATTCAGCTTCGATCTTTCGATGGGATACACCACATATTCGATGTCCAGTACTAGCGACATTTGAGTATCTTCTTCCGGTCGCGTAATGTCTTACGAAGTCCAACTAATTTTCAAGTCAGTTCAGACAAATCTGTGGCCAGTTAAACAACTCCAGGAGGAAAAGACTCGTTTGGTCTCTATCAAAAACATTTGTATCCCATGAGAAGTAATTAATGCTGAATGCCCCACCATTCTTCAAACTCAAAACGCCATTTTCAATTACGTCCGAGTTCCCTCTAGACAAAACATACACCGCACTTTTTTTTGTGAAACGCCAATCAACAAATTGACACTGGTGAACTGCGCAGCCCCGAGACTTTTCCCAGTGGCGGTAAGCCAACCTCTACTTACGGGTACTGTAAATGTGCTTCACCACAGAAGGCTTCTTCGTGTCGGTGACCGGTTGGTTGGGTTTTACCAGGAAAGGATTATAGGTCGAAGTGGACATGTGCAACAAGACCTACACTGTGGATGTATTTTTGGACGCTGATCTCGAATCTGCTTTCCAAATCTGCCAATCGATTTTCTGAACGGAGTTATGAAGCAAAATAGAGCAGCGGTAGTGGTCCGGGTTCACGAGTGAGACGATCGTAGGATTGATTCCCTGAGAGGTCCACCCTTGCCTTCGTCGCAAAATCGTTGAAATAGGTCCCCAACAAATATGTAGCTAAACCACCCGCCAGGGGAATACTACTACCTCTCGCCTGTGAGCCCGAAACACTATCGCTGCTCTATCTTGCTTCATAAATCCGTTCATCAAATCGATTGACAGATTTTGAAAGCAGATTCGAGGTCAGCGTCCAAAATCACGCTGAACAGTCTTGCTCTCATTGCATGCTTACTTCGACCCGTTATCATTTCCTGGTTAGATTTTTCCGGAGGAGGAAAAGTGGATAATTGTAATGATATAAAAAAGAAGAGTCAAATCTTCGAATAAAAACGTAAAAATGCAGTTCCATTGCAAGCTGATCCTTTTTTTCGACATTTCTCGTATTTTTATAGGATTATTTTAAGGTACTCACGCTCCAGTCATGCACGCCATTACTTTTGATCGCCATGCTTATAATGTACGCTATCGGTCAACTGCAGCTGCTCAATCATCCGGTACTCGAATATCTCTCACAAACAGTGATTGCATTCATACCATTGTGCAATCCAATCATTTCCCTCACTTATATCACACCCTATCGAAAAACGGTCACGAGGTGGTTCCAACCACTTGCTCGGAAATACTCCTACCAATCACCGGGTTCTAGAGAAATATCAAGTTTATGATAAACATTATAAAACCTATTTTGTATAGGCTATGGAGAATAGTACACTATCAGAATCTTTGTCAAAATAATTTTTTTCTGATTGGGACGATTTTTTCTGAAATTCTGCTACGAAAAGGTAAGACGATAGCGCTCAGACGGGTTGCCACCTGCATTATTGCTTCCAAACAAGGTTCAAATGGCAGACAAAAACTATCGACGTGCAGACTACCAACCCAAAAACAAACTAGGAGCTTGAAAACAATCACCACGATAACTACCGTTTCCAGCAATCTTGAGGTATGTCCTAAGGGCTGAATTAGACGCCTTAATTGCCTGCAAATTTCGCAAGTTCGACCTTGCTACCGTACGTATCGTAGAGCAGAAATCATGACCTTAGCATCGGATTTATTATACAATTTCCCCAGTATTCCATATCAGTGTAAAGCTAAAAGTGGCAAAAGTGTCCCAAGCGCGCTAACCATGACCCCGTAGAATTCAGCCTATTAGAATGCATCAAAATGTGGTATTTCGAACGTCTGTCCCGTGAAAGGATGTAAATCTACTAATTTCGTGAAGGAGTGCTTAAGAGTGGATTACGTGAATAGGAGTTTCATTTCAGGAATTTCACAAACAAGGAAGTCAGAAGTTTAGACTGTTCCTGTTTCACCTTCCACCTCAGGCTTACCTTACATATACCTCACATAAACGAGCTTTTCGGAAGAATTAAGGAGGCGGAGTTCTTGCAAGGAAGATCCCACTGTTGAGAGCTGGAAGGGCAGGAAGCGCTTTATTTGAAAATTTCTTACGCTATCTTGGCCGTGATTTGATAAACTAGCCAGCCGTACAGACCTATCATTTGGCCGCAGTAACAATAATGGCAAGAACAAAGGATCCAACGATGAGGTCAGAGGTCGAAGAAGGGGAAATAAACTTAGTGGAAAGGCAACAGATCCCCTGAGAGTGCGGGGCAATGCGGGATCGTAGCAAAGGGTATGCACTCGGCCTAGCAAGCCGCGCCCGCGCCGCTCGCGCTGCTGCACTCTCGTCATTTGGCTAACCTCTCGATGACCAGAGTCAACCCTGCGTTGCGCAGTTCTCAACGGCCACGTTGCGCAGTTTCGCCCGATTAGACACGTTCTCTCGCGCGAACATTCACACTCGCATGCTCGAGCCGTCTGCGTCTCCGCCCATACAGCGTGCGTTGAGGATCTCTCAACGTGCCGTTGCGAACTGCGCAACGCAGGGTTGACTCTGCCGCGATAGCCGCTTAGCAGAGAGAGCGTTAACACTGATAACTTCAGCATCAAATGAGACACGCCTATCGCGCGAATCAGCGGGCAAAAAAAGAAGTCCAGTTGGTAGTCAGTTTTCTTGGCTTCTTTTTATCTCTGCATCACTGATCACCTCTACCTTGATTTCTAGTGAGCTGTCTTTTCATTGCATACTTTCTCTCTGAGGGAAGATGGTACGATAAATAGGAGGCTGAAAAATGGAAAATCGACCCACGGCAAAAGGAGGCTTTGTCTGCATAGGATCGAAACGTCGCAATTCAGTGGCGAAACACTCATCTGTGCCGACCAGGCTAGGTCTTACCCTTACTCGTGGCCTATGAAAGCCCGGCCTCCAGGTAGGCGGAATCACACCATGCTCAATTGATGGTGAGCGCGTTTGGCGTGTATGGCGTGAGCATGAAGCGTTCTGTTGGTGACATCATCTATCGTAAAATCCGGTCGAATGCGGAACAACGGATAAAACGAGATCCGAGAACGTTACCATCTCCCTTGATTTTTCTTCACTATTTGCCACCCTATTTCTTTTCCAAAGATAACCAAATTATGGTACCTCCTGATCTTGATGGAACAGCACCTGTGACTAAGCAGTTGCTTTTTCGCAATTGCTTTCTAGAGATAGCCATTCTGAGAGCCTGTAATCTAAAGTGGCCCCTATGCAGCCACTTCAATCTACTGGAGCCACTTTACATTCGACCAGCTGAGCATAGCTGCACCACTCCAGATAGTTTTCGGGAAGATTTTTAGCGAGGTGAAGAAATTCTTTGAATGAGGTTAATTGGAAACTCACCTTCCAGTCGGAACCACAAGTGGAACGCGCATGTTGATTTTTCGACACGCCGCCACCACTCCATTAGCGATAGTTGCACAGTTCACAATTCCTCCGAAAATGTTCACCAAGACGCATTTAACCTGTAATACGATCTTTTACATTATCGGCAAATATCCAGAGCACGAAAGATCTAACACGTCCATTTTGCCTGTAGAATTTTTTCACTTTCACCCACATCACTGTTTTGATAACAATCAACTCCTTTACGACCTCGTCCCTGTGAGGAGAAGGGTGTGCGTTAGGGAAGCCAGACTGGCACACAGATTTCGTGATCAGTTGATCGGGTTCACGAAGCGCTACCATTTTAATCAATTAGGTAATGTTACTGCCGCGCTATGCCTTCCTGCTTCGAATGACTTGTCTCCCCCCCCCCTCCACAAGAGTATAGCCGAATCGAGAACGGGGTTTATATCATGGCGGTCATCTGTAAAAAGCCTCATTTCCATCTACCACCCGAGTCTCCTTGTTGCTGGGTTACGATATATCAGTGTAGTTTTAGCAATGCCGTCCACACTTCAACCCTTCGAAAGCCCCTCTCGACTCGCTTCGAAGTGTTCGTTTGTGAAGATAGGTGATCCAAAAATCTGGATGCTGAAGAAGAGGAAATATATATGAACTCTTAGTGGAATGTTTTCATCCGAGAAGGATGCGCTCGTAGCGTCGTAACTAAACCACCGTTCTGCGCGCTCTCTAATGCGCGACACCACCGCCTGGTTCTTACCGTCGTACTGAGCCCTTTTACTGGAGTGTAGAGCAATGCTTCCACGTTGATGACAGCAGCTATCGCAGAAACTCATCCAGCGCGGAAATCAACGCGCACGAGAGCGGTCTCGTTTTCCGGTATTTTAACCGTTCTTTTGAGTTTTTCTTCAACACTGCAAGTTTCCCCACCTAAAATTTCATTCCCAATAGACGACAAATCTATCGTGTCCTCATTCTTAGACGTTGTCAACCAAGCACACCTAACTCACCCGTGGGTCACTTGTGATTATCCGGACGGCATGGAATACTTGATCCTCCGTAACAGTTCCTCCTACATCCAGGAAATTGGCTGGATCACCTCCTTTCAGTTTGATGATATCCATCGTCGCCATGGCCAGGCCAGCACCATTCACTTGAAATTTTATGTTCGATCAAAGCCGTTTTTGCTCGTTTCAAACAGGAAAGGAATACGTGAAGTATAAAGGACAACTGAGTGGACTGAAATTCGGTTGATCGCACTCGAACATTTCCCATGAAATTCGAACTGAACTGGATGATGATAGTCAAAGGGTTGAAGCATACCTAAGCAGGCAATGTTTCCGTCCATGCCTATGTAGTTGAGGTTATGTCGGTCTGCTTCCACCTCCCTCGGGTCCTAAACACATAAAATGATATCAAATCCAAGGAACAGCACTCCCATTTCCTACAGTTGCAGGTAAAACGTCTAAACTCTGAACTTACCTGCTCCGATTTGTCTTCCATGGCAAAAATATCCTTTTGTCGGAATTCTGCGCTGTCATCAAAATTCATCTTTGCGTCAACACAGTAAACTGTTAAAAGGATAGACAGTGGACAAAGCATAGTTATATAGGAAGGTTGCCATTACAAAAGAATATTCACCAATGTGCGAAACCTACCACGCCATGTCTCCAGTTTCACAAAATGGATTGAATCTCAATCTGGGTGGCATCAACAGCTAGGAAAAGATTATACAAACGCTTAATCTCCTCGGCGGCCTGAAACAAAATAGGAATATATTGCTTTGTAGGGGATATTATCGGTACCACTTGCCCCGAGACAGGATTTTCTTTCTATCATCTATGCATAATATTGAGAAGAACCTCTTTTCCATTCAAGGAATCTCTTTCCCTAACCGCAAAATATAATATATATAAGTATCGTCTTCATGATCACGGTCTCTGTTTACTCTTTCAGCATAATGCTACGTAAGAATGTATTGCCTCAGACGCATAATGTGATGTTTGTATTATCCCGTCCCTCCCTCCGCGTCATATCTCTTACCACTCTCTCAATCTCATTCGCCTGGGTGCATAATATTTGAAGACTTACAATTTTGCAATCTCTTACACCAGTCCTAAATATAACACCTGACATAATCTCACAGTTCCAGATGGCAAAAGTATCTGAAGTCCCATTGAAGAAGTTTGCAGAAAAAAAAATTCAAAATAATTGACTAACATCTTCACTAAGGGCTTTTTCACTGAATCCACACCTATCTTTCCAGCAAATTATCCATAAGCCTGACATCAGTTATACACTGTTCTGATATCGATCGGTCTCTTAAAAAACAAGATTCAGTAGACAAAATGAAAAAAGAATTGGAAAAACAAGAAATATTAAAAGCGCTGCTTGATACCATAATCAAAGGCATGGAGATAATATATTATCAAAGGTTCTAAAGAAATAACAAAATAATGCTAAAATTTACACTCACATAGAGTATATCCCATTCCACAGTGAAAGAGACAACTTATCCACCTAACTGACCTTGAATATCAATTCCGGCGTCTTTTTGGCAACATCTTCAATGTCCATTCCTCCGGCCGGAGATGCGACCACTACTGGCGCATTTCGATTCGGTCTGTCCCATGAGCACTGCCACCATATGCTTCTCTGTTTATTGTCTACACCTTTTAGCCACTTCTCACTTATTCATAGCAAATTCATCTGATTTTAAAAAAAACACATGCTTCATCAACCACAAGAGTATCATCTAGATGTCCTTATAGTTTTAGAACTTAGAAGCGTTTTATTGTTTACAGTCATCCAAATTGCCTTCTCATCGGGATATAACGCTTCCATGATCATTCTATGGACTATCTAAACGCTTCCAACTCTTGACACTCTTCCGTTGGCTGTCAGCGTCTGCGTGTGACTCGAGATGATTTACCCACCATCTCACTCTACTGCCTCTATGAGCCTGACTCGCTGAAACTAAATAATTTTCAACATAATGACGTTTCAAATTCTGAACCACGCAGATACCCAAAATTCATTCGAATCTATTTCTTTAAATGTTATCTCACTCATTCAACGGAAAAAGAGCCTTGTTTCTCGCAAATACGGCTATGAATACTTAAAGTTGCAACTTATTGAAATACTGGAGCAACTCTAACTCTCCAATGTCACGACACGCGCCCGTCCTCTCCTTATCCATTAACAAAGCCACCTTTCTCGACTCTCCTGCCGGACTCTGGACTCTGTTCACACCCATATCTCAATATACCACAAGCTATCCATAAAGAGAACTCGATATACGTCATAGCAAGAAAATAGGATTAGTCTACAAAAAACGACAGAAAGAACCGAGTTTATGAGACACGAACCGTGAGCCTTTGTTTTCTCGTCAGCTTCCTTCCGTGAAGTTGCCACAATGAATTTTTGTACGGTGCAACCATGGTTGTCAAGCAGCTGTTTGCTTTTCTTGGGTCTTGATTCTCGTCTTTTGCAAATCAAGTAAGCCCGCACGCTGACCACCCTAAGAAGAGAAAAAAGTAAAAAGAATGCAGTAAAGGCTGATCATGTCACAAGACCATACGGTGCACTAAAATAAAAGATAAGAGCGCTAGCGATTCCCCATACACCCATCTATGAGACCGTGCCAGGGTATTCCCAAACAGATCCATACAACGAGCAAATTAGCGTGCGACATTCAGTAGTCAAGACATTTATGAGCGCTTGATGAATGTGACGGAAATTCATCATGACACTCCAGTCGAAGTCAACTCTATTTCTGCAAATCATTCGATGTCACACGTCAAACGATTTCATGTCTATCTTCGAAAGAAAATTATTGAAGAGGACAAACTGCAAAGAACACACTTGATGGAACGGTCCTTTCCCAAAAACTCAGTTCTGATGCAATCTGATAAACGAAGCCGATGTGAGACTTTTGTCTCAAATTCGGTGCTAACTTAGTTGGGGGGGGGGCACGCGGCGGCGCGGCAGTCTGCTCGTCTGGCATGTTCGGAAATCCGTGGGCCAGGGGGGAGTGTAGCCAGCCTAGGGGGTTGGGGGGTGGGGGCAGTCACTTGACATGTGTGAAACTGACAAGGATGTAAATCTTACTTTCGAGTTTTGTACACCTGTCTCGCTCCGATGAGGGCCCAGGTGCAGCATGGGACTGCGCGTCCTCGTCCGCCGTGCCCCCCCGCCCTAACGTAAGGTTAGCCACCTTAGCAAATCTAGTCGCTTAGCGACATCGTGTAGTACGAGGCCACAGTTGGTTCAACTAGATACCTTGTAACAGCGACTTCGTCGTAGGTCATAGCCACTGTCCATAACACTGGCGAGCACTGGTATCTTCATATCGCTAGTGTATCACTCGTACCCAGCGATTCGCAAAGTCTGACATCGGCCTGTGAGGGCGCAGACGAGCGGAAAATAGGCGCCAAACGGCCTAGCGCCAAGAATGAATGTCATATTCGTAATCAGGACATCAAATAACCCCTATACAGAAGTTTACACCGAAATTTGGTGAAAACAAGGTCGTGACAAGGTGATGGCGATAGCGCTAAAAAAGAATGTTATTTTCGTAATCGAGGCATCGAATTACCCTTCGATGCAATGTTTCGACGAAAAATAGGAGATTGAAATTTTACGTTGTAATAGTTGAATAGTACCGTAAACCATTTTGGTATAGAAGCAGCGTATCATTAGTGCTTGTGGACTACTGGTGAATGAATAAAGATTGATTCTTACCTTCGTGAGCGAGTTTCGGCCCAGTAGTCGGCTAGCGCATCGCAACATCTCCCTAAACAATTATCAAGCAAAATCGCAGCTCAACTTCACGTACTCTCCATTCTCGTGCACCACAAAACAGCTTATGTTATCGACAAACAATTGATTGTACGACTAAGCGTCAATGAGCCATAAAAACACTAATATCGATTCAGTGACATAACGCGTTGCATCCACACGCGTCCTTTCTTGGTCACCTCGAATACATTTTCCGAGTGTTGCCATGTGAGCAGGACAAAAAGCGGGACTATAACATATGCAGTAGTAAGAGCAGGAAAACGTGGGAGCTGTGTGCTAGCAGTGTTGCACTGCTGCTTCCGTAAGGCTGGTGTCAGAGTCCGCGATCCGTCGATTCGCGCGAATCGCAAAAATTGCAAGTGCCCCATTTGAACATTTGAAACACTGAATATGAAACAAGTAGAATCATGAACAGTCGTCATTCAGCCATCACCATCAAGCAGAAATGGCGGCGGGATTGGAGAGCACCTTGCAGTATTGATCGGGCACTTGTGATTTCTGTGATGTCGCGCGAATCGCGCGAATCGCGACGGATCGCGGACTCTGACACTGGCCTAAACTTTTCCAATGAGAAGGTCGGGAATGTCTAACATACATGTGCAATACGAAACATAGGGGAAGTATATTGTCAGAAAGCCGCTTAGAAAGAACAAAAGACTCGCTTAGAAAAGACCAAAAATAACCGGTATTGCCAATGCAAAGTGACACCGATTATGAAAATGGGCGCTCATTTCCTTAAGAGGACATTCAAAACCAGGCGGGTTGTAAAAGTGACAGCAGCGCAAGAAAGAGAAGAAACACCAGAAGATAGCTCACGAATTACTCATGTCCTTCTATAGAGTCCCTTTCCCGCCCTAGGGCTTGGTTGCAAGCACATTGATTGACTCACTCACATCAATGCCCCCTTCGACGAATTCGCACTCGTATAGGATAGAATTCCCGTCCGGCGCTAGGTTAAAGATCTGTACCTGCTGTATTCGGTCCAATTAGATACGAGACCCGTTTAGTGCAGCGGAGCACCGAGTATTCGTCGGTCGCCACAAGTTTCGTCGGTAGGCCTCTTCTAACATACACATTGTTTTGCACGTATACGCATCTGCTGTTGTATGCTCACAGAAACAGAACGCTCTCACTCTACCGTTACACCCTTGCCTTATGTTTTGAAGGAGCGTGCGGTATTAAAGAGGTTCAGGTGAGATAATTCGTTGTCGGAGCAAATCCCCACTCTGACAAATAGCAACGAATTGCAACAGATCAAGAAGAGCAGTGCTTCAAGCCATATGGACAACAATTTGCCAAACATGAGAGCAAAGGTCTGAAGGACGAACTGTCGAAGGCTCCTCCCACTACGACATAGGTAACAATTGTATACTGCACACAAGATCCACCACAGACGGGCATGAAAATTGCCAAATGTTCCCTCCCGGCGTTTTTCACTTTCACGTTCAGGATCTGGAAAGCTGCCGCTGTGAGAGCGAATTTCGTCTAATAAGATTGCGGAAGTACTGCCGTAACGACAAAAAGATGGGGTGCTTGCATGTCAGACATTGTGCGCTGTAAATCAGTTGGCATCATTCCAAGAATTTATGAATAAACAATTCAGGTCAGTCAATAAACAGCCTCGCTGAGTTGTTATCTGACAAAAACGCATCAACCGTAGTCGGCGCGACGCAACTTAAAGCAACAGTCCAGGAACGAATTTGCGGGCCAAAAGCACCTATATGGAAGTTGTAGGTGAAAAGTGGTCGAACGTAAAGAGAAAAAGTGAAGAAAACGCCCAACTGGGGCTTAGACAGGGACATGCCCTGCCGTTTAGGGGGAGACGTGTGTTGGACGAGTTGTCCGAACCTGCCCGTAGTACATGCGCTCCAATTGCAACTGCTGGCAAATAGCCATGCATGCTTGCAAATACATAACTATTTGCCAGCAATCGAAATTGAAGCGCTTCAATTGCGTTCTTATGGAATCGACCTCATACAGCGCGGCGGTCCCGCAACGACCGCTAGTCAAGCACGGACTCTGCACAGCGTATGTTGGCGATCCGCCTCGGTTATGGGTGATCCGCCCCCTCCAAGAGGACTTCGACCCCTTCCAGCGCATTTTAGAGGTAGGTTTTGAACTTAAAGACATTTCCTATAAACTTTAGTTGGGCTGGGGCATGTTTTGACCGCCTAATGACCAAGTAGTTGAAACCCTGCCTGGACTGTTGCTTTAAAAGAAAAGCTTGAATGGATAATGGCGACACAAGGGATAGACAGTATTGGGAAGCTAGAAAAATATATTAACTGGACAACTGCATTGACGTTATAGCTTCGCTATGCACTAGGTATGACCCTCGGAGAAGGAACGTCAAACGAAGACTATTTTTGATAACGGGTCCTTTTCATCGATTTCCTGCCAACCCAAGTCGCAAAAACCTCAACAAGTGAACGCATACGTGAAGTGGCGAGAGTCACAATTGCAAATATTGTGCCCTTTTCCGCAGGCTCTTTCCAGGAGGAGTCTCTGAATTAGAAGCCATAACTTTGGCAACCCTCCAAATCATTGAGAAAGATACACGGTTGCAGTCCAACAACAAGTGATTACAAAGCCGATCAGTCGAAGCACACACTAGTTTCCTTTTCAAAGCTCATTCACAACCCAAAACCTTTTTTGTAGTCGATCATTAAAGTTCGAATACAACCCCACTTCTGAAAAGCGATCCCTTTCCATTCTCAACACGCTACCTCTTATCAAGCATTACCATGCACTACCCTTCAACTCCAATACCTCGGAAATGTTGCTCTACCGCACCCGGGCAAAAAGCATGAACCATCATCAGAAACAGTTCGAAGTCCTACATATCTCAAGAGAATGCCAAACATTTTGCTATTCGTTTCACCTTGCAGAAGTTTGTAGCCACATCACCCTTTCCAAAAGCACTACTGAACGCTGATCCCTCCACCACGCTTTTCTGCCATCAGGTCAAACAGGAGTTGGTCAAGGATTCTTCCTCCTCGCTCTTCATCTGAGGCGGTCTCATTGGCTACACAAGACGACGGAAAGGCGAACAGATCCGAGGCATTTCCATGAAGATCTATATTACGCGTTATTCAAAACAGGTAGCAGAAGACAGACTTGTCAAAATGTTAGACGTGTGAAGGTTCTGTCATCGGAAAACTGTTAGTTTCACAAACACAAATTACAAATGAATATTAATGTCTAGGTTCCAAGAAAGACAGACATGAGGACTACAAGGAGCATAAATTCCTAACTAACAGTATTCGTAAAAACTTAAATATTCGGGTCTCTCAGGCCAATCAAACGCACAAAAACCATATATTTCAGCAATTTATCATTTGAAGAGAATTCTGAGCGGAAATAGCACGATAAAACGTCACTACACTATGTATAAAATTACAAAATTGTGAACTAGTGCAAAACGGCTTTTACAACAATTAAATGATGCAAAAAATGAACAAAAAGGCTATGGCAACTGATTGTGAAACTATTCAAAATAAAACACCGTCATCGTCGTCATCATCATCATCATAGTTAGTTAGTCAGTTTGTGGAGAGAGATAGATAGATCAAATGCCCGACAAAGAATAATGACATGAAGCGAGCATTTTGCCATTCCAAAAAATAGTGCTTCACCACATCAAATATTTAGGAACAACACAAACATAAGAAAGATAAATTTCGAACATGTGACTGATATAGAGAGACTAAATGTTGACAGATTAGTTGAGAGCGCAGGCAGGGACAATGGTGGAAAACAAAAGCACATGAAATGTCAATGAATGCGAATGGAAAATGTAGACTGCCTACTAGCTTAGTATTGTTAGTGAGAGAAAATCAAGTCATACAAGAAAACGGTAAAGTACGACATCACAAACGCTCCACTATCACTCTACAACTATTAACGCTAATTGCTCTACATGTTCACAGAGTTAGGCAGCAGACACTGCTCCAAGCCTAAGCCTTTTGGGCTTGACTACTGTAAAAGAATTCATTTCTAAAGAAAACGGTAGGAAATAATGAACGAGTTTCAATCCAGTTTATGAGCACCCATTAGCGCTTGCGCCCATGCTTCTGAAACACGTTAACAGTACTACACGTGAGCCACAGGTGATGTCCACAACTGCAGCATCGATGCGGCAGATAGCGCTGTTTTGAGCACTGGCCGCTGAACTGATAACATGGGCGAAATGCACTTTTAAGGTGAAGCCGTTGACAAATTACAGCTTCATCTTCTCGGCTACTGCAGCAATAAGAGCAGCACCACGAGCACTTCCTTCATCTGCCGGCACCAGTTCCCACTGAAACGAATCCGTACAGTAAAATGCTTCTAATTATGTATAAACAAGTCTCCGTTTGTTTACACTACAGTTTGCGTGTTTTCACAACACACTCATCCTGCACAATCAGGTTCATTGGTTAAGGAACCCTAAATCCAGTGAAATAGGGTATTTGGAAGAGGAAGATAAGGCTTTATGCCCATGAACACCTCAGCAGTATACTTAACCCATTGCGGACCGCCGTTATAATTGCACCTCCGTAGGTTTTTGTCATCTGTTTAATCAGTGGCCAATGACTATCAAAATTTAACCAGTATGCAAATAAGTGATATATCCTGTGTCCAAAAAAGTAAACTGATGATTTGTAACTTAGCAAAATGCTGAAAAAATCAAAGATTACTGTCCTTCTCCGCGTGGTGGCGTGCTGCACCATGTGCAGCACGCGGTCCGCAATGGGTTAAATACATCATACTGCCACAATCAATACAGCAGCTAGACCAGGAAAGACTTCTTAGTAAAAGCAAGAACTGTGATAATTTATGCATCGCCTGACCTAACATTTGGCATGCCCAAATGCTCAACATGAACTGCCTACTTATTCACCCACGAGCTCGACTTTTTACTAGTCGAGGAATTATAGACTCTTCTGCGACTTCTAATAGCCCTCATCAGTCAACTCTTTCCCGTCTTCCCAAGCTTCCCTCTATTCATCTATTCCGTTACCATTCCAGGGAATTTTAAAGCCATATCCCAGCGGAGGAATATAAAGAACTTCACTATCAATCTCCACAATTCTGTTCTCTCTCTCTCTCTCTCTCTCTGAGCTAGTTTAAATCTTAATTTCGCCGAAGTTTACAAAATCCTACAGTATTAAGACGAGAGCCCAGCGATATTTATTGGAAAACAAAAAAAAGAATGAAGAGGAATATATACTCCGTTGACAGAGGAGCCAAGTCAGTCAGTTTTGCCTCCAGCAGCTTGTGATATATTGGATGGAACTGAATCAAAGCTCCTCCAACGCCAATTTTCACTTTTGAAACATCAAGATGACGAAGAAGAGCACTGATTGATTGCTAAACGATGGTTGAATCAAAAGGTTTTATTGAAACACACTAGTGGAAAACGGGGCAAACCAAAAAAAAAAAAGAAGAAAAAAAAAACTGGACAAGTAAAAACCGAAAAGGATAAGAGAACTAACCTGCCGCCACGATCGCGGCACTGCGATTCGACACTGCATAGCAAACACCACGAATTATGTGGTAATCACTAGAGCCGTGCATTGGTACGTCTAGCTCATCATTCACAAATGGATGCGCAATGCTTTGTAGACTACCTTCCTCTTCTAAAAAAGATTCGACTTATTGCTCGGAAACTATCAAAAAGGTGATGGAAACAAGCACTTGAAAATGCTTTTATATATAACCACTGCGACTTACGCAAGAATTTCACTGATGTATTTTGTAGGGAATGTGTCAGGCTCGTCCAATTTTTCACAAGCGACAAACAAGGAAAAAAGTGGCCAATCAAACCGAGGATTACGGTCGAGCACCAACTGAGACAGCACTCGACGAACCAAGTCTCCCAAGTAAAGCGCACCGGTTAATTTGTCGATGCTGCAAACATGACATCAATCAAAACTCAAAAGAAAAGCTGGTGTCAAAGCATCAAATGTTACAACAATGCCTTGAACAGGAACAAAAGGAAATCGTCTACTTACATTTGCTTCCCTTGGTGAACTGAAGCTGCATCGATCTCTTTGTCAAACTGTGTGAGAACGGAATCAAGTTCACCCTGAAACGATGGCTTGATTGATGGTGGCTGTAGAAAAGGATTTGATGCACACATCTGAGGATGAGTTGTACACGACTCCACCAGTTCAATAGGGGAAGTAGCTGCGGAATTCAGATTTGGTAAGGGAAAGATCAGTCATTTTCCTCTTAGTTTTGGGTCAGTCTACTTCAAAATTGAGAAAAATGATTGAAAAAGTCGAAAAAGACGTCCAGCAACAGTGCCGTGTAATTTGGAAATTAGAGACTCATAGATGTGGCTATTTGTGAGGTATTACTTCCGTTAGCACTCATTGCCACCAGTAGAGCCAGTGTCGCTGTATTACACTTAATTAACATCTCCAGTGGCAAGGCGGTATAACGTCTTGACATCCACTCAATCAATGCGTTTTTTCGATAAAGCTTTACTCCACAATTCCTCTGCAGTTTAGTACAACACAGCCGCCTCGACGCCAATCAAATCTCAGCATCTTTCTAGAGTCTCAACTGTCACTGTGAGCGATTGTGAACGTTCGTTTCATTTTGTGCTTGACATCGGCTGACCCTAGTTACCAAGCTTTATCTTCGCCAATGCTTCGATGCCACAACTAGAGGGACAAAGACATTGGTTATCATCGCTCTAGGCAACAATATGCGCAGATAGAGTTTACGAAATTCTTAGAAAAATCTTTCCGGTGAAGCGTCGCATATAGCGACACCTCACTGATGTCCATGAAAAAGCCGAAAGAAAAATTTTGAAGGAAGTGTTGATAAAAAAAGCACTCAACATAGTCTGTAAAGTTCAGAAAACATAATAATATTAGCAAAAAACAATTCAGGAGCCACAGTGTTTTCCAACATCAATCTCTCGAAAAATGGCTTTACGAACGCTATAACGAAACAAACCGTTTTTTATAAATTGGTATTTTATTTCTGTATTCTATTTGATAAATAATTAATAATACCTTTAAATTAAATTAAATTTCATTATTATATTATAAATAATAATGAATTAGTGAACATGCTTTACAGAAAAAAAATAGGAAATCAGCTGCTATACCAGATGCGCCAGATGGAAATACAATCACCATGCCAAACGGGGAAGTGTTATGATAATTCGCGTTCAGTTATGGGCTGCATTCCATTTTCATGCTACAAAAATAATTGATCTTGATACCATACTTGCTAATGATTGTTTAATTCACCTCGATGTAACAGTCCCGTCGCACACCACTGCAATGCATTTAAAAACGGACCAGCGAGAAAAGGCTTTACACGTGGCGTTACACTCCAAAAAAAGTGAGGTTTACACTCGCGAAAATGCCTGACGTATTTGCACGTCAGAGGTGTAAAAATCGATGGCTGCAGAAAACGCTCTCGCAAATCTTCGACTATTGTTCACTTTAAGCTTGTCACTTAGTCGCCGTCAATATTAGATGGGGATAGAAGAAACACGTCACATGGCAACGGCAACGAGCAGACACAACACATGATACAAAAGCGCTCACTCAGATTTCGAAGACGATCTTTAACACAAGAAAGCTGTACAAATCGAATTTCACCTCAAATGAGGTCGAATATTTATACAATTTGCTAACGGAAAAATTAGCTATTATCAATTTTACAAGGGTATCCGCATGTCTATCTTGGGAAGCCACTCGTTAAAAAAATGAATCCGCTCACTCACCCACCCCCCCCCATTACTCTTAAAGGAGCAAAACGCCAACGATTTCATTTATATTGGCCCTTCCTTCATGCTTCTACTTTGGCCAAACACACATGGCAGCAACCAAACCAGAGCCTCACTATGTAGAATACTATAACAGTAACATTAATGGTAAAAAATTTATATACCGACACACGACCCACCCTTTCGTCAAGAGAGGAAGGCGGGCTTCTCGGTGTATACTTCAAACTCACAGTTTACTTTTGCTCTTGCTCGCACTCACCAAAAACTGCACTAGGAAGATGACCGCCCTCCCACTTCTAATCTAAGAGAAGGAAAACACAAAAAAGACGACGGCGATATCAGCACACATACTCCGAGTATCATTGATAGAATCACGATCTAAAAAAAAAGCAAATAAAATTAAGGAAAACTGTTATTAAGCATCTTCGCGAACTGCTTGCCCTTTCATTAAGATTTCTCAAATTAGCATCATCTGCTCGTTTATTTTTTGTTTTTCACATTCAGAGGTTTTAGTGGCTGCTTAAGACATTGGACGCTGTTCTGTTGTACACCGATTCGTAACAATTGTCACACGATGTGGCCCATAGCACATTAGTGAGGCCGACCTGCCTTAGTATTGGGAGAAGAGTGGCGCACCAGATTGAACATATAACTTCCAATTTTACTAGACGTCAGTTTGTTCGATAGATTTTATAGCTGTTAACAGTGCAGTTCGCTGCGTCCCATTTGCCGACAAAATTTGCTCCCCTTTCTTGGCTGTGGTTATCATCACAACGTGAAGTGCTAGTTCAAGGTACATCGACTGGGCGAACGACACAGTAAACAACGATATCACGTTGACGGTTCGAAGTAGCTCGCACTAACATGATCAAGCAACAGGGACTTTACAATTATGTACGGCTGAAGTGAATGAGTTTTACAAGAAAGTGAACATGAAACTTGTAACAAAAAAGTCAAATATAGGAAAAGCGCGAAAACTAGGAAAGAAGAAGCAAAGAACTATTTTTGAAAAGCCCCTTTTAATATTGTCAGCAGTCTCTATCCAGTAGAATAATATTCTCATGAGCACCCTTCTCAGTATTAGGAGCATGCTGAATAAACCCAACTAGTGCAGTTATGGGCAGAAGCAGAAAGGACAAAGAAGGAAGACAGCCTACAGACGAAGTATGGAGAACTTTCCATTCATGAATTGAGTGCCTGAAATTGCACACCCACCTTCGAGCCAAACTCCTCCCATTCGGTAACGACTACCATATTGGGGTGCTTGTATCCTTTAGCTTTAGCGTCGAATTTTGTGATGCGGGAGGTTTTCTCCAAATAGGACGAATTGCACCTTCAATGGAGACTGTATTATTATATACTTTCACTGTTCACATAACTAAGGCCAGCACTCAGATCAGAACTCACCCATAACCTATAACAACACCGATCGTGCATTCAGGGCCATATTTGTGACCAGCTGCCGCAAGCTGCCCAACTGTATCATTCATAACTGCTTTGATTTGTGCTTTCGTTGACTGAAAATGGGAAACATATATAGCTATAAAATCAATTATCGTCCAAAACCAAGCAAGCGAAGAGGACGAAGAGGATAAAATTCAACCCAAAGCAACAGGAACGATATTGAAAAAAAAAGTTGGCAAAGTAATGCACTGGAGCTGTGCTCACGAAACGCAGAACTTCCAGAGGAATTCTCGGAACTACAGATAGTCAGCTTATGATTGAGCCAGGCAGCTGCATCATAAAAGAGCGGCTGCTCCTACTTGTAACATCGAGAAAATCCACTCCTTCGTTATCACTACTCAGATGTCCCACAAGAGGTTTAGGCTTACCCTTTCCTACTTGCAAGTTTGCTTTCGAAATCGCGCGCGATAATTTTTGAACAATCAGAAAAAAGAAAGTTCATAAGAAGCAAGACACGGAAGTGGCTGCAGAAAATTTAGTACAAAAATTGATAGAACTTGCCATGTTCATTTCCAAAGCCTCCTCCAGCAGTTGGACAACATCCTTCCTTAGGCAGTCCTTGATATCAAATCCCTTTGTCCACCACAGCAGTCGAGCGGAACGAATAGATAGAAGCTCACATGGATAGGAAAAAACAAAACCTGGTACGAGATTTTGTTTTAAAGAATACAATGAAAAGAAGATTAAACCAGGCCTACTGGCATGTCTAAACACTCGTTAGTTAAACATACCGATGGGTAGGTTGGCTTCGACTAGACCAAACTCTTGCAGGAAACGTTGCAGACAGTTGACAATAAATGTGAATAGCTGCAAAGTGATCAAAAAATAAGGTTCCACTTAACGAATAGTCCAGAAAACTTTTTTGTGAACTGGAGTGATGGAAATGTTAAAGGATCACGCGAGGAGTTCTCGGAGCACTTCCCATTCACAGAACACATTATTTTTCATTCGAAGCGTTGTCTTTTGACTAATCATTATACATCTCAAGCGCGGAAGAAGTCACACTTTAACAATTCATTGACGACAACGCGGGGGATATATATCCCGCGCATTGCAGGCCGTGTCGGACCGTGCGGGGGATATATCCCCCGCACCCATTACACTTTTTTTTCGCGCACGCCTGGTTCTTCTAGAAGTTTCTTGTAATTATTGAATGGAGGAGACCTTGACCTAGCTAAAAACATAGTGGTCCATAGAATGGTCACGTATGCTTCAATTTGGAGGAGGATTTCTGAACCCATACGAAATCTTCAGCCTAATAAATTTTTCGTTTACTTTTTCTTCCTATGAATGTGAAGGTTTAAATAGTAGTAGAAGTAGATACGGTACCTTAGAGATGACAATATATGTGTTTTGATTAAAATAATCAACTCAAAATTGCCTTTGAAGTTTATTGCAGCTTGTTCTAAAGAATATCACTTTTTCATTGTTATTCCATGTCTTTCAATAGAAATTCCGCTACTGTACCTCCGAGTAGGTTGTGCTCATTACAATATATTGATCTGGCCTTGTATTGATCATTATTTATGTTTTTATCACTCAAAATTTGCTTGAACAACCTGAGGCGGCGGCGCTCGCAAAAACGCCGTGGTCCCACGTGGCCAAAAGTGCCAAAACTCGCGTTGTCGTCAACGTGTTAAAAATTTTTGAAAATTCACAGTATAGGTCATGAGTCTAATGAAGGGCATGAATACGAATTCCCCATCTTTATTACGTCCCAATTAGTGTATCAGTTGACAGTACCAAAACATTTTTTATAGACCAATTCTTGATGCGGCCAAAAGCAAAGTTCTTTCGTCAGCATTGGGCACCAGGTAAGATCAGAAATGAATACTTTTCCTGATGTAACCGTACGGTGAGTAAAGTAGAAATAATAGAAAAAACTCATAACAAGTGAAGTTAAAACTAACAACAAACCCATAAAACAAAACAATTGCGGGCTATGGATTTCCATTCACTACGTGTCCATGCTAATTTGGGAAAAAATGAGTACATCCCAGCTATAATAAGACACTAATTCCCAAGATGGTCATAAAAGCTCCCAGAAAAATATGAGAAAAACTAATCCTGCACCCTCTTAGACTAATGAACGTAGCTACTTTTAAAATCCACTTTCGAATTTCTTCAATTGTTCATGCATTTTTGAAAACAGCCACTCACTTGATCACCAGTGCCTTTCATCACATGATTAGGTACAATATAATTGTTGTTAACAGCAGCAGGTTCACGTCCAGTACCATTGAGAGTGAGTAACATTATACGTAAATTTTTACCGGAAAGATCGATCGCCACGTACTTGCCTTCCTCTAAAATGAGAAGGATTGAACAATAAATGATCCAGACATCTACGTAAGTGGTCCTCTTTGGCAAACTAAAAAATCGAGTGAAAAGAAAAAAGAAAGTTGATTCGTTATCCATTGGACACGCCAACTTTTTTTCATACCCCACCTTCGAGGTTTTTTCTTCAGAGCAAAAGCATATGAGATTCTTTGAAGACAAAATAAAAAATCTGCTGGAGCTTATTTCCGAAGTTGAATGGAGTTTTCAAAATTCGCATTGCTTAATGCAAACCTGTCAGAATTAAAGAAGGAAAGACATTTTTGTAAGGCCATTTTTATCAACGATCCACATTTATAAATGACTGACCAGATCCATCAGGCAACGCTGGTACGTAGGAGGGCAACATGGCTATTGAAGACCCGTCTACACTGGCAAGACCAGCTTTCATTTCTGCTTCTATCTTACAGCTAATGACGTGCAAATCATCGTCGCTAATAACAAACTGTTTTAGAATCTGAAAAGTGACATGTCTTTTAAAATAATTTTCGTGTATCACGCGAAGAATACCTCCTGAACTTCTGCAGACTCCAACCTCATTCCCATATCTGTGCGAGTAACTTGTAGAAGACCAGTTACAACGCGCAGTTAGCCGAATAAAAGTGCACTATAAAATTCTCATCATTTTGTGCAACACAAAAACCTCACAGGCACACGCGATAACGAAGGATGTAAAAAACTGCACAAACTAATAATAAGAGCATAAGAAGAACTTGAAGATAACCACTGATGAGATTGCACCTACTGAACTTTGCTGATTTCTTTATCAAAACAGAATGGTCAAATCTGGCTATTTTGGGATTTCATGTCAAGTATCACATAATATAATGGCCAATACGTAGTACAGAAGTATGAGACTCTTCTTACCGCACTGTTGACTGCACGCCCATGCAAGGCTACGTTTCTAGAGCAATGGCCTATTTTGAAAATTACCTATAAGCTCATAGAAATGGCATGAGTAGTAAGCTTATCAAGTGACATTGACTATATCTAACCAACCCGATAATGCGGTTCGGACGTGACCCCTTCATTTTTCCTTATGTAGTCCTACTAACTCTGACCTAATTGAGCACCAGATTTAGCACTCCTCGACCAATCCCCTTACCTTTCGAAGTGGAACAGGTGACAACTGCAATACAATACCATAATAGTAAAGAACGTATGCGAATTCATTCAAGAAAAAACTCAAATACGGACTGCGACGAAAGCCAGTTTTGGGCGTGCAACCTTGCTCGCCTCGCTGATGAACGCGCTTTGAATTCAGAAACGTGATCTCCGGCAGGCCAAAATGTTCTTGGCGAGCTGAGGTACATTACTGCGCTCACCGCGTCGCGCTGCGTAGGATGTCATCAACATCCTAAAAACTTCCATGTGGCCAGACGGCCAGTGAGTACAGCAGGTGAACCCTCTACTAAGCAAGCTGACGCACCGCTACGTAAAAGTTCCGCATGAGAGACGAGTATGAATCAGTGATATCGCGTCGTGCTGGTGGTTGGCCCTTTTTGTAATGCGTGTTCAGGATCAATAGAGAAACATTATAACACAATCTTCCAGCTCTACAGAACGCAAACATGGCCGTAACAATTAAGTTAGATTTCGATTTAAAGAGTAAAAATGGTGCAGAATGAAGAGTCTCATCCCCTTGACGGAAATGTAGCCTTTGGATTCTGCGAGTTCGAGATCAGCGCTACCAGGAAACGGCCATACGCTGTTTTGCAGGATATACTTCTTGTCTGGACTAAATAATGGGCTTATGCAATTCATTCGGGGATAAAAAGACCTTCGAAAAAAAGGCTATGGGAAACCACACTATTGATCCTCAGGATATCTACCTCCCCAGAAAAGCCCTTTATAGCCACAATGCCTCGCTTCTAAAAAACTTTGCATTCGGAGGCCTCATCCCCAGGGAAGAGCTAGCACACTGCTTACGGTCATAAAAGAAACCAAACGAAGAACAGTGTATTTTGCAAGCAACTCATGGATACCACGGTGCTTCTGCCATAACCATGTTTAAAAGAGCCAAACCTCTAAATAGCAACAAACCTCCGTTAAAGTTATACGATAAACGACATGCTTGAAAATTAAAAAGAAATATCCCAATCGTGCAAGTAAGAGAAGGAATAAAGAGATCTGAACTTCGCGGACGATCGATGATCAGGGACACTGCCACATTTGCCGATGTATCAAAGATCAGGCGCACCGGGCACATGATGTGACATTGTGGTCTTGATTAGATGAAAGTCTTTTACTGGACAGAATCCTAAGCAAATGGCATCCAAGTCATCAGCAAACACCCCACGAAACTCGTCGACCATCAGATATCTTCGTGAATACTTCCATTACTACGGCCATTCATACAACACCTTACCCATAGGGGTCACAAGGTGTACAACTGAGGAGCATTTCTCACATACAGGAAGTAAACATCTCAAGTAAACAGTAAGTTGGACGGAACCGTGAGCATTTGAAGAATGGATAGGCCACCAAGCAACTTGATGATAATTTCCATCACAAAAGCTGTGTATTCGGGTCATTGTACGAAGTCGCACTCCAGAGACTTCAATTCAAGACTAGGAAGTATACACGTTATGCGTTCTAGAAACATCGACTGTTGCAGCAAAAAGTGTAATAATGGAAATCGGCTCCTGATCTTATCCTAGGAAATTAGCAGCAAAGGTAGCGCTAGAATGGCGACTGTGCCGACTGGCCCATTCGCACAGGATGATGGCAACAATGCGAAGACAAATTTGCCAGCCAGGTGCCAATTCAGGCGACTGAAATGATCCATTTGCGTCTACCTATATGAAGGGACATTTGTTGCAGTAGTTGCAGTGCAACTGAAGTAAACCCAGTTTTTGCAGATGCGGAAGCACTGGGATGGGTGTGCAAGCAAAAGCGAAATGGCTTGCACACCGTGCAGCCTCCTCCCCCAATAAAAATTGGGATTAATGGGCGGCACGAATTATTCCGCCGAATGCCCCACCACAAACATTCAGAAGGCCCAAAACTTGCTTCAATCCTGTGTCCTCCTTCTCCTAGAAAAGAAACGTAATTTTCTTCAAGTTAAAAGATGTTAAGGTAGCCATTGAAAAGACAGAAGAAGTAACAGATAAGTGTTTCGCTTCCATAAAGAGAAGGGACAGGTCGGCTGACCGGACAGCAAGTAGTATTTTACACAAATTTGGGTCCATATGAACCAAAAACTTAAGAAGGCATAAGCTAACCTAACACAGGGTGAACGATAAAGATTGAATCCACTCCGGACTCAGAAACGTATGGCGAACTTTTGGGCTGTGTGAGATAAGAAAAAGGCTATGAAATGCATTAACATTTCTAAATTCAAAAGAGTCTAAAGGCAATAAGGTGACAAAAGACCACCATCGCTCACAGTGTCCACGCACACGTGGTTGGAGGGAATTTTATGACAAAGACACGTACAGGAAGTCTCCCAACACAAGGTTAAAACAAGTCCAATTGAAGCGGATTTCTGAAATCCATCATGCGGAAGCAGGAACAGTTGGAAAAGTTCAATAAAAACAAGCCACTCTAATCCCGAGTTGATAAGCGAGAAAACGAACTGCTTAAAGGTTACGAAGACATGTGTCCCGACACACGATTACATGTAGCGGTGCTAAACAGGTTGTGGTGGAGCTTGTGAACTGGCGGCTCTTATTTGATCTCGGCCAGCTGATTTCCCATTAAATCTTTTCTCGTGTGGTTTGTGGAGAGTTGTTTTACACGCTTTGTTAGCCTTCCTGAAGTGTGATCTGTCTCTGAGATCCCATCTTGTTGGGGACCATCTAGGAAAGGGCGAGGTGTTCGAGGTTGGCGAAACAGATTCTAGAGGAGGATATGAGGGATTCTCGTTCTCTTTGGCGTTTCTTTCCTATCCTGAAATTAGTTGTAGTGCCACATTCCAGCGGTTTTTGCATGCCTTCTTTTGAATGTTTCTGTCACCTTCCTCCGAACCCGTGAGCATCGTTTTTTTTTTGCCGTTCTTGTGCATTCATAGAAGGCGGAGCCTTTTTCTCAATCAAAAGTCTGTCGGACGAGCTATTTTGTTCGTAACCGTTAAGTTTGGGAGGCTTCCTCCTTAAATTCCTTGCAGTATCAAGATTGATTAATTTGGGCGTAGTAAACACTTTTTAATGTGCAAGCGTTCTAAGAGAACACAAGCTTAGCAAATTCAGAGTTGCACTCCTCTTTTTCAGGATGACTTGAGATCCTTTTCGAAAAAGACACAATGGATCCTAGTCGGAAAAAGAAAACTGGTAGTGCATCGTCATCTAAAACGTCAAGTGGCACATCAAAGCAGGTGAGAAATTTGTGATGTTTTAAGTGTTACGTTAAGAAGATTCAAGTCTGGAAATTGAGTGTAACCATAATTAAAGGTCACCTACGATAAGCGGTGTAGTCAGGTCTACAGATCAGTGTTTCATTTGATGTTCTGTTGGCTCCCAGACAATACCTAACCATTTGGGCGCGGCCGCGGCGAACGCGGCCGAGTTGATAGGTGCCCGCGAACTCAGCACAGCACAGTTCGCGGGCACCTCGAGTGCGTTTTCAACGGTTCGCGGGCACAATCGACTCGGCCGCGTTCGCCGCGGCCGCGCCCAAATGGTTAGGTATTGTCTGGGAGCCGTTTGATGACTTCCGGTCCAAGCGGGCTGTGTCAAATCTTCCCCCCCGGCTAGGGATATCGAAAGATCTCTACGAAGTTATTAGTTTTTAACAACGCAGCTCCCACACTCTCAGTACAAGTTTACTTCTACAGTCCAGATCTAAAAGTCTAATTGGGTGTGTCACCGGAAATGACGTGGCAGCCATCGCACTTGATAGAAGTTGCGCGGATAATTTCTTCCAACAGCTTTGCTAATTTTGCTGATTCTGCTGATTCTTCTTTTTCCAGCCTAGGAGAAGGATTGGATACGGCCCAGGATGGTTGGGAGGGGTCCGAAAAACTGTGCTAAGATAGTGAAATCGATTTCTTTCAAGATGCGCTGTTTACTGCATATTGGTTAACTTGGTTAAGCTGATCTATCAGCATGTTCGATGGACGTCACAGTTTTTTTTTTCTAGTAATTAATTCCAGCAACATAAAAAGGTGCGAGCCGTTGCGGTTGGTCAGAGTGCTTCATCGCCACCTTCCTCAGATACTTTCGACGACAGTGGGCCATCGTCGTCTTCCAACCAGCTGATTCAACCATTTCAGAGGTAAATTAGATTCCGAAGTTGAATGTTGGTAGTACAGGTACGACTTCTGCAGACATCTTAATCTCGGTGGTGATGTAGAGGACGAAATCGAAAACTCTAATGGTTTCGACCCTCCAGCTAATCTTGATGTATCCGCAGGATCAGGTTTTTGTGGTAAGTGATAATTTTTGATTTTTTTCTTTCTCTTTTTATTTTCTTACATTTCTTTCTGGCTCCCCACTTTCTTCACGATTTGGGGCGCGGCCGCGGAAAACCCGCGGCGTTCGCGGGGTGCGGGACTTTTGGCTCGTCCGGACTGGCACGCGGCGAGTTGCGCGGCGGCACGCGCGGCGATCTGGACGGGACAAGGCTTCGCGGTTCTTCGGGTAGAATTCAACACGTCAATGCGTGTGCAGATTGCGGATAAACTCCGCATGGTTCTGCTGTTTGAAAATCTTTCCGCTCGCGGGGATTGGAAGCAGCAGTATCGGTGAGGAGATTTCAGCGCAAGAGATGAGTGAGGACCTTCATGTAAATGTAACTACTACCATCAAAGCAAATAAGAGTCACTAAAATTGGGAGTTCTTGTTGAGGTTTAATGTCAACTATATATGTTTTGCTGATCGAGGGAGGAGAAACATCAAAACGAAACAATAAGAACGCCAGGGAACCCTTCTGCTGGGCTTGGTCCTAGGGTAGCTCTATCCCCCAGAATCCCTTCTCCTCCCTAAGTCTCGGTCCCAAACACAGTAATTGTCTCACTCACATCCCCAAATGGAACGTCCCCCCCCCAACAACATGACCGCCCTGATTGCCATAACAGCACTATGCTAGTTCCTTCTCATCTCTTCCTATTGCTACAACCACCGCTGTAAAATTCCAGCCACGGATTTATCCGCAATCTTCACACGTTGACGTGTTGAATTCCCGCGATGCGTCGGGATCGCCGCGCAATTGCAATTTGCCGCGTGCCAACCCGGACGAGCCAAAAGTCCGTCGCCCGCGTTCGCGGCCGAGTAGTGCGGCATCAGCTTGCCTGAGTATTCGACGTTACATTACGTGTCGTTACGATCGGATGAACTAACACGTAACGTCGAATACTCAGGCAAGCTGATGCCGCACTACTCGGCCGCGAACGCCGCGGGTTTGCCGCGGCCGCGCCCCAAATCGTGAAGAAAGTGGGGGAGCCTTTCTTTCTTAGTATACCGGGCCCAGCACATGTGAGCAATCAGTGTTAGTGTTTCGTGTGTTGCACACTGTGTATCGTTCATATCTTGCCTCTGATTCGACGGGTTTACGGACTTGTTGTGGCGCCCACCGCACTTGATAGAAGTTGCGCGGATAAGCTGCTTCCAGCATGCTTTGCTGATATCCAGCGGAGTATGTTAGAAACAGCTTATCCACACGACTTCTATCAAGTGCGGCGACGGCCACGTCAAGTCCATCGCCACGCCTAATTAGACTTCGAGAAATGTACTGCAAATGTAGGCACATGTGGGCACCACAGTTGAGTGCGAGCAAGTAGTGAGTATGTTGTTTTCAAAAAATTGCTTAATTGTTCCTTGACAGCTAAGTGAATACTGCATATATCCCCTCATTTACTCACTCTAAAATATGAATGGTGTCCGACGATGCATTACGAAAATAGGTCTTCAAAAATGCTCGTTCGAGGCCTAGGGCCTGTTTCTTCGTATGGGGGGGACATCTAAGGAATATTCTGCTGTAAACGAAAAATTTAATGATATGAGCTATGGGCGAAGTGACATTTTTTGCCCCCTACCTCTTGTATAGCAGTTCCACTAACTTTTCTTTCAAGGGTTACAATTCTTGCTTAACTGAAGCATTTTTTCATTTTTAGCGGTACCAAGAAACAAATTAGTGATAAAGGTTTTTGCATTTATGCACGCATAGCTCCAAGTGGTTGTTTGGGTAAGACGTATACTCCTCACTCAGAGCCTTTGATAATATTGTGTTGAACAGTTTTGTCCAAGAGGTAGTTGTTCTTTTTTCAAGATCACGAGAAAGCGGAGGACATTTCGTCGGATAATAATAGTGGAGAACATGATCGGATGGGCGATGATGGATATCCTCTCATCGTTGACCTTGGAACAAGGTAGGAATCCAAATAATCCTCTTGTATCATATCATTGCATGACACTGGGGACGCATTAGTCATTATTAGTGCGATTATTCAGTGAACGTCAGTCTCGATTGGCTCGTCAACGCCTCATTGATGAAGTTATTCAGGATCAGGCATTTGATCAGGTGCAGATTTTTTTGCTTTTTTGGAGACTATTGTTAAAAATTGATGTGATATAAAATAGTAATGGAGCTGGAATAACGGGGAAAACAGGAATAGATTTATTGGTGTTGCGCTGCAGTGTTGTGAGAATGGTTAGACATTTAGGACGTTATTGAAGAACTGGAACGTGCAAATATGCGGCGGGTCTTCGAAGAGATTGAAGAGGGGGAGGACGCCGAGCACGCTGCAATGAGGCGGCGAGCTACTGCAAATGGAATTGTGTACGTTTCTTTAACTTCAAATTCATACTCACTATTTCTTGTGGTTACAGTAGGAGAAAATTTTTTTGCGTTAAACCATTTTCCTGGACAAGTCAGCATTCTTCTTCCAGTCATAGTCGTTAAGACATTTGAATTCGATTTTCCCTATACAACGACTTGTAGAAGCCAAATAATATACAAACCACTAATTTTATCCGACCAAAGAAGTCCAGTATCAATCACTAAAATTCAGTGGAATGATTATTTCAAAATCCTACTATTTTCAGCAAATGGGACAAAAAAAACTTGGAAAATAATGCCACCCAAAATAGGCTGAGATAGGTGCTTTCTAAAGTCTGCAAAATATCAATATGATCGAGAGTTGGGGCCTCCATGCCTGTAATTTTTGACTTTTTCGTCGTCTTTTCGTAAATGGTGGCTCAAAGGTCAACTCTGATTATAAGTGCATCGAATTGAAGCCAAAGTGAAAAGTTCCTATTTCTCTTCCTCTTTTTGTATAGGCACTATCTGCGCCTCCTCAACCCTCTGCAAATGGTGGGCGAACTGACTTTGTTCCTCCGGAGGAAATTAGGAAAGTAGGAGTAGGAAATTAATTCCCTCCTTGAGCTTGTGGGGCGGTAATCTGAAGTGACGGGTTCCTCCTGAAAGATGTGAATTTAAGAGATCTCGAATTCCCCACTAGTTCTTAAAAATGAACTCGTGATGAGAGTGTCGCCGCGTCGTTTTCCCTTTTTTAAACGACCCATTTCTGACTCTTAATGGCGGTAAACCTTCTTCCAATTCTTTCGGTGTTCTGAATTTGCAGCATTTATATGGCGGTATCTTTATGGGGATCTTTTGGGAAATGTTTGACGATTTGAGGTTTGAAACGCATTCAAATAATAAACATATTTCCGAACGTTAGTTAAAAAACCTTGTCCAGATGTACGAAATGAGTCCTTCGACAGATGTAAATTCAGACCGAAACATTTTTGAGTTATCCGCCGCACATGTGGAACTGTGTCAACAGCGAATCCGTTGAGCAAGTCTCGTGGCTTCGCTAGGGCTCCTTTTGCGAGATGTTCTTGTGAATGTGTTATCAGATATTTGTCAAATGCTTCATCTTGAACCGGTCGCTCATGCCCTACCGTTTCAATTTCCAGTTTATTTGAACATTTATTTCATGGAATATATTTCCGAACGGACAATTTATTTATTTCATTATTACACTACTATTTTCATTCAGTCTCTGTTCTGCCTGAAGAGGGGAAGCGCAAAGGGGGAATCGAAACTTCACTATATTGCCAATATCAGCGTCATACAAGAGCTTTCAAATGGAGAGAAGGGGTAACAACATGGTTGCTGCACTACGTTCATAGCATTGGGACCATGGAATTAATTTCAGCAATCATCCGTTCAAGGTGACCTAATTGATACAATTTGTGAGTGGTAAATCCCGACCAGTACATCGACAGATCACATAAGTTGTTGTAAAGTAAAAGCCAACTAGAATTTCTGCGTTTCTTCTGGGAGGTCCGCGACATTGAGATTATGTGCTAACACGTTCTTTCTTAATAGATGGGAGTTTCTTCATTCCGAATACTGTGCAGTTATTTCATCTGCCTTATTGTGTTCTTCTTCGCTCTTGGCAGTAAAGTCCTGCTCTCGATCACGATTGACCTCGTGATCTTACGAGTGGTACACCAAGGCAGCTCTCTCCTCTAGAGCCTCTTATCTTTGTAAGCGGTCAGAAACCCGTAAGAATTCCTCATGGTTTGAAACAGTTGTAGATTCGTTAGCTTCGGTGTCGGTGTGTATTGGCATGCTTTATATAATCTTACTCTCTTATGTGCGATGCGATAAAATATGATGAGTCAGGATATGCCACGCTTTCAACTTCCTTTCACAGTGTTGGTGGCATTTGTATGCGGTGGACGAAAATACTTTCTCTGCTGAGTCGATACATGTGTAAGGGTTTTTGTTCTGCCAGGACTTTTCAATTCCACTTCTAGGCTTCGGAGGGATGGGAGGCTTGGTTGAGCTGGGCAGGTTTCCATTTGGGATTGATCTATCGGATCGAGCGCGTTGTAAGCAACATCTCTTGCTATTTATATATTCCGTTTCCCTACTTTCTTTGTAGAAAAAAAGGTTCATTGATATTCATCGGTTATATCTCTTTTTTATTATATCGATTGCATCGCATAATGCCAGCGCAAGAAGCAAAACAGCAGCTTTATTTACGAAGAATGTCAAATAATATGGACACCACCAAAACAGTGCTTTTGGTCTAACGCTTAAAGCCAAAGTCTTGGATAAGCAAGCAAAGCACTACACTAGTTTTCTGTGAAGTGAGATTTGACCCTTCCTGACATCCACTTCTTCTTCTTCTTTTGTTTGAGTGAATCCAGCATCTCCCTTTAGGCGTCCTAGGAGAGTCGTCGTCTCACTTGGGCTCAAGGCTTATTACATTTCTCCTTGATCAGTCGTTAACCCAAGTCTAATTCCGCATTTCTTTGCGTTTTTGTATGCTGGTTGTTTAGTTTTGTCTGCTGATCCCAGTAGCTGCGAGGTAATTCGTACAAGAGATGCTCTTCAAGCCCTATCTTGCTCCCTGTCACTACACTCAAAATTCTCTTCTTACCTCATATCCCCTGTGATAAGCAAAATGTATCCATTGTAGCTGTTGGCCGAAATCCGTGCTCTCTCAACATAATTCTTGCCCGACCCCAGTTTCTGGGCGTTTGTACCTGGTAGCGAACGCTTCATAACTGAGCAGTGGATTTTCACCAGAAGACGCATGCTTATATACTAGAGCTGACCACACATACATTAAAAATTTTATCTTTTGGCGCTAAGCCGTATAAGGCTACAGAGTTACACATTTTTTATGTGTTGCGGAAGAAATTTTTTGTTACTCTCCTTTTATTTTAGAAAATTAACCAACAATATTATTTAGCTACAACAATTCTGGAGGGATTAACAAACCTCTTAAATATCATATACATATCAAAAACGCAAATTTTGCGAATTTTCAATGACGAGCAAAGCATTGCCTTGAACAATTTAGCGAACATGCCAAAAGGTTAGTTTTTAGCTATGTCGTTAAGATTTTTATTGAAACGCGCTCCTCCACGCTCCTTGATAATTTTCCGCATCTTGCTTCCCCTCGTGAAGTCAAGCTAAATCACTGTATGAAATGTAATGTCATCTATTGTAATAGTTTAACTTCTGCCTCTGAACGTTGGTAGTGAAGCTCTATTATTACGAAACTTCGACCATGTCACGTCGTTTTTCAAGCTATAAGTGCTCAAGATCCTACTAATCGGCCACTACCCCACCAAAAGCTTTCTACGCTCTCTGACGTTCCGCCAGGAACGGAAAACATCCAAAACCGAAAGACAAGGTCACCTTATAACACACTTAACTACCGCTTCACTTCATGAAACGGTAATCACAAGCATAAATAGCACCTGATATTCTACATAAGGTTTTCAGGAGTGGTGAAGATTCTCTAACACCTCGTGTTGAGGCTGCGATCGCGAATTACATGGTGCGGAAATATGCAGGTATTATTTTGTATTAGTAATCTTTCAGACTGGAATGTTTTCCTAATTATTAGAAAACCTGTTTAGACCCGGGAGGTAACGCTAACTCCGCTGTGAGCGCAGGAGAGCCTGAGGAGCCAGGTCCATCATCTTCCAGATTGTCCAGTAGACCCGTTAATATTGTCCCAGGTATTTTCCCATCTTCTTGTATTTTTTAAATCGTTATGCGATGCAGTTTTCCGTTATCGATGATTTTCTGATGTTTTTTTTGCACATAATTACACTTTTTAGTCAGTCACAATCATCTTGAACATCCTGCTAATAATCTAGTCGCAGCGGGACGGCGTGCTAGCCCTGTACCTGAGCCCAGAAGTTCCAGAAGCCTAGGAGGTAAATTTATTTCAGAGGATTCTACCTCAAATGCTTTTCGTTTAAAAGTTTCCTACCAAAATATGGCTAATGGTAAGAAAAAGTACGCACAGGAATGTCTCGTCGTGCTGCAAACGCCGTGGACGACAATCCACTCGGATGGCAAGGCGCGAAGACTACACTCAAGGAAAGAATAAGCTACATGTACTGCAAAGACGTTCTCGCCGATGTGTACTTCACCGTTGGAAAAGACGACATGAGGCAGGTGAGGGTAGTTGTGAAGCTGTTTCGGATTCTCGGACATATAAAGTTGTTCTCGGGAGTTTACTTACGACTTGATTACCCTTAACTGAGATTGTATCGTAAGACTTCAGCGAATACCGGCTCACAAGTTCGTTTTATCGATCGGCTCCGTTGTCTTCGACGCAATGTTCAATGGTGGCCTCACTCCACAAAACTCCAGAGGTTGTTAAACGCTCCATCTTAGGGCGTAGTTGCGGTCGATAATTTACCGTTCATAAAGTAAGAGAATTTGTAGATCCGCTAGAAATTGAACTGCCTGACGTTGAAGTCCCGGCATTCCGCGCTCTTTTGCGATTTCTCTATTCTGATGAGGTAGAAATCGGACCGGAAAGCGTCATGACTACATTATATACAGGTTTTCTTCTTATACACTCCTTCGCTTCTCTTTAGTTTTTGAAATATATCAAATAAATATTGTTTTTCTCTAGCAAAGAAATACGCCGTACCAGCGATGGAAACAGCATGCGTTGAATTTCTGAAGCAGAGTCTTGGAGCCGACAATGCGTTCATGCTGCTAACACAGGTAAGCATCTCGTGATATCCATCTCGCAGTTTGACGCATCTGTGAACATGCTGTGCGATTTAATGTAGGCTCGACTATTCGACGAACTGGCGAAGTTATGCTTGGAAATCATTGATAAAAACACAGCGGAAGCATTGAATGGCGAAGGTAATTCGATTCTATCATATAAAAAAGACATGCCGACATCTGTTAATCTTCAGCAGGATTCAGTCTTTAGCATTGCAGGGTTCACCGACATTGATTTGGAGGCCCTATGCCTTGTACTTGCGAGGGACACGTTACGAGTGAAGGAAGCACAGTTATTCCAGGTGCGGAACCAATCTTCACGACGGTTCAGTGTGTATATTCCTCGTTTCATGTTTTTAGGCTGTGGTCCGCTGGTCAACTGAAGAATGTGCTCGTCGTGGTCTCGAACCAACAACTGAGAATCGACGAGCGGTGCTGGGGCGTGCTGTGCAACTAATCCGCTTTCCTTTAATGACGGTGGAAGAATTTGCTCAATCAGCTGGTACGTGTCAAGGTATTCTTGAAGATTTGAAAGTGCAAGCCCATACGGCTGGCGATTTTTTCATAGCTTCTTACCCGAAGAAATACCTCCCAAGAAGTTCTCAACTTCTCTCTCCTTATAACTTTGGTACCCGCTCTTGTTTTTGGTTGTAATTTGTGCCGTTCGCAGTTGATATGGATATTTTATTGAATAGTCGTATTCAGAGGCACAAACGTGACACTAGGTTTAGATTTTCCCTCTGCTTCACCGAGCGCCTTGTCTTTTGCGATTCCGACATTTCTCACAGAAATAGTAAAATAGAGTTTATTTTGGATTGAATTCCAGCATATCACGCAACTGTATCGTGCAGTCACAGAGACTGCGCAGGATTTGCAAAATTGAAATGTGTGAATAATCGCTGTTTCATCATATTTTGATAGTTTTATTCGATTTATTACTTACGAATATGATTTATGCGAGTTGCGAATCGATCTGAACGACGTTAATTGATCAGAATAATTGCAAGCGGTATATTCGCCACAATCTGAGAATATGTCGTTTTAGCTCAGTCCGGACTTCTGACCGATCGTGAGGTTGTCAATTTGTTCTTATACTTCACCGTGAACCCGAAGCCATCGATAGGGTTCAATGACAAGTGAGTTATTTTTCGTCAGTATTTGATTTGACAAAGTAGTGATTCATTCATATTCTATCTATTTCACGCATGGATTTCGAGTATTTCACAGCGTGCACCGTTCTCTTATATCCCAATGGACTGCTGCTACGTTTATGTAGGACTTGTAGGGCGCCTCGCGGGTCTTTGCTGGAACTTGGATGCCCTAATATGGATGTTTTCTTCACTTGGTTCTCGAAATGTCACGTAATGCTGAGTGTGACTGTTTACTTCTATAGCGTCATTGCTCAGGGAAGGCCCCCCTTGCAGGAGATTAAACTCGAAGTTATTGGTTAGAATAATGTATGGTTATACGAAGTTATTTTTCTCCAAAGATAAAGAAAACATTATCCACAATCTTCAAAGCACAATAGAACTTGTTGGGTGCGATACAGTGGTGAATGTTGGTGTGAGGTTTGAATGTGCTCGAATAGTTGTTCTATCTTTCGAACCTTTTCCATGTTTGGCTTGCTGCGGACGGCCGATAGGCGTTCTAAATTCGCCGCTTCCCTCAGCGCATGTAATGTGATCGAACGATCTGACTGGATGTCCGTAGTGTCCGACAAGGTCAATCCTTGTTCTATTCGAATGGTGACTACTCTATAATTGTTGTGCAGTTTTGCATCTATAGAACATAAACATTGGAACTTTTTTCGAGAACATCTCCAAATGATACTTTTCTAGAATTCGTAGGTAGAATATCATTGCGAGGGACAGAGTATGTGGTTTGAGGCGTAAGAATATATGAATATATTGCTATTCAGTATATCTCAAGAGTGAGGATTGTGTCCGTGATTTAGGTAGTATGGTCTCAAAGCACTGGAGTCGTGTTAGTGCCCTCAGAGCGGTCGACAAAATGCAATGTTTATTTGCTTGCTCAGGGTTATGTTGTAAATCGCGACGTTGTCTACGGGATCTAGATGTTTTAATGACTTGCGAAAACTTGTCTGATCATAAACAAGTTTTGAAGATAAAAAGGAAGAAAAAAGCATTTGCCGTTGATCAATCCCTTTTTGGGATGCGGCACGCATTCTACTTCCATTTGTACATTCGTAGTGGCGTTTGAATGCGATGTGGCCTATACAATGACTTGCGGGGGCCAGCCGATGTACAAGTCAGTGTTTTTTATCCTCCCAGACAAGTCTGGTACCAATTAACCGACTCCCGGAGCAGGGTGAGACAACGGCCAAGGATTTCCTCGACCCATGGCTCCTCTACACAGTTTGAGAGTAAGTGAAAGATAACAACATCCGCCTCAACCGGGTACCCCCCAGGAGGCCCGTCGCGCGGCAAAAGGCCGAGTCAGCGGACGAGTTGCGCGCGTATAGGGAAATCGCGTCAAGTTAAATAGAATGTCCCATTGCACGTCCTTCATCGCACATCACGCGCCGCAACTCGTCCGCCGACTCTGCCTTCTTGCCGCGCGATGGGCCTCCTGGGGGGTACCCTCCGGAAAGCACAGTCGGCACGCACGAGGTCGAGCGTTAATTCTGCCGCGAGAAGATGTGTTTACGGGCAGGTAATCCCTCGGCGTGCCGTGAGGAATCCTGCGAGCGATTTATTACCCCTGCTCCGCGAGGATGGAAGGCTTGGTTGGCCCCAGGATTTGATCCCGGACCACTCGCATGGTAAGCGTGCCACTTACCACCATACCACTTCCGCTCTGAAATCTCAGATTCATCAATAGACTCTGTTTTAGTACAAAGCATCTTTCAACAAAACTGCCGTTTGCTTTGATGCTCTTGAGTTTACTAAATCTCCTTGATTCTTTCAATTTTCAGTCCAAGATGTTCCGGTGCTGGCAAAGAGCTGGTTGTCAGTCGTTTTCAGCGCATTGAAGGTCGGTGGGGTTACAGCGGTACCCCGGACAGAATCAAGTACGTATCTTGCAGTGTTGTTAGCAGTTGAGTGTGTTGCAGTTAAGTGCAGAGTTGTTTTGTTCAGGTTCACCGTCGACAGAAAAATCTTCGTGGTTGGTTTCGGTCTGGGTATGAGTGCTATACTGGCCCTCATGAATATCAGTGTGTTATTCAGGTATACCTTTTCGATAGTTGATTCATTTCTTGTGGATGGTGAATTCGCTTGCTTGTTTAGATTATCCATTGTGGTACCGGCAAAGTGTTGGCTCAAAATGATACATCGTTTGTATGCGATGGTTCCTCGTCAACCTGTCGAGTATCGTTCCGGGTACCCGTGGAAATTACTCCTGGAGTCACATATATTGCAAGTGCCTGTTTGAAGGTAAGCTCAAAAGTAAAGGAGAAGTGTGATAGTTTCAATCCTTCGAGGACGTAAATACAATAAGTAAAAGTAAATATGCTGTTATCGGACAAAATTAAAGTGGGTTGCGTGGCCCAGAAAAGAAGTGAAATAAATCGCTGAGAACCGCGCGATTTTGGCATTGTTTTTTTTGTTACTTTCGGGCGGTGTACGAGGAAACCTGGCGGTCGTACGAGAGAGAGAAGCGAATAGGTCATTTCGTTGTGCCATTCTGCATGTTTGTCTTACGTTACTATTGAATTACTCTACCCGGTAATGAATGACATGGACAAAATTGGTATTAAGAACCTGTAAAAATCCGATGTGGACCACGTTACTCTAGGTGTTGACGCAAAGGCTTGAATGAAGAAGATATTTGTTCTTTGAGGTAGTTATTACGATAATTTGATGTTGATCTGATATGAAATTAGGGGGGGGGGGAGGCGAGATGGGAAAAAAAGAAACTGAAGAAATTGTAACAAAAATCCTGTGGAGTGGATACTCATTTAGTTGTTGATTTTTTAACAAGTTTGCAGCTCACAAGTGTCTGTTTGGGAGAGGTATCTCGGTAGTAATAGATAGGACACACCAAAATCACAAGGTCCGTTTCATACGAAATGCATTTACAAAATGAATTTGAACGATAATGCCGGTGTCAGACTTTGCGAGTACATCTATTCGCTAGTAACGAATTCGTGAATTTGTTAGCGACTCCGCGGACGTTAAGCCGGCCTAGCAGCGATATCGCAGACGCCAATATACACCTCTCGAGGTGATGCCGTTTGGAGGAGGGGTCAATTTCGGTCAGGGCCGCGAAAACGCCACACCCTCGTTTCCTTCGCCGCATGGTCACCGCTTTCTTTCCCGTACAACTTGAATTTCCAGCTCGTTGAACTTAAGCACCAAATAGGGCTGTTTTTTATGTTCTGGACTCCTAGCACTTGTTTTCCGGAAGGATATTCGATTGTGTGCGCGTAAAATCTATGCAAAATTTGTAGCACATGCGCATGCAAATTCGGGCGTACTCCTGTCTGAAATTAGAATAGACTTTTTCTCTTTTTTCTCTACTTAATTATGATGATTTCCCAGTAGTCTCCATTTCGTCCTTTGTTGAAACCTCGGCATTGATGTCGAATATACTGTGTATGCCAGACGAGGTTTTTGAGAAGGAATCTTTATTTGCTGTTTCATTTAAAAGCAAAATTGAAGCATGAAAAATTAAGGTTTGAATTATTATTAAAAACAATTGTAATTATTTTATTTGACAGGGAATGGACTCACATTACGGTACCAAGGGTCTGCGTCGAATAGTACATCAGTCAGCAGCTGGAGGTGTGGTCACTTTCCAATTCACCTACGCAGCTGGCAACAATAACGGAACAAGCGTTGAAGATGGACAAATACCAGAGATCATTTTTTACACTAGTAGTAGTTGAAAGGAACAGCCTCCCAGTGAATTCAATCGCTTGTGAACGCCAAGTTATGGTGATTGTATCACTTTTCGAAGACCTATCCTGTCATTGAATGTGGGGCGTTTCTGAAATCATAGAGAAAGGTCCAGATCGTTCTCGCTTCTTGTGATGAGTAGACTCTCTTTCGAAATTTCATGCTCGGTTTTGTCTCTCTGATAGCGTTATACAAATCTGTCGAGGCTTAAATTTTAATGGGTCCTTCATTCATTTGAAACTGTCATTATGAATTTCTCAACTCCGTAGACCATGGCTTATGCTTGACAGTTTCTCGATGGTAATGTATTCTGTCGATAAAACTTGAACCAGTGAATCCTATACTTATGTCACTCATCATCAGGGTGAATATCGGTTGAGGATTCCTCAACGGCACGTCGAGGATTTCTGCCCGATCAGTTACGATCTCTCGCGCGGACATTCACACTCGCCATGCGCGAGCCGTCTGTGCTCTCCGCGCGGATGTTCACTCTCGGCACTACTCTCGCATGGTAGAGAGCTATGGTCGAGGAATTCCTCGACCGTTATTCACGAGGTAAGCAAACCAGCCCTTTTGGCGTTTCTGCTGGGACCGTATGCTGAATGTTGGGGAGGGGATGGGGTCCCCAACGGTCGACGGACTTACTTCAACTCGGTTGGTACGATAGGAGAGTACTGACGCAAGTGGTGCAGCTGGTCCAGCAGCTCCGCCAAAGGGCTGGTTTGCTCACCCCAGGACTAAGCCTTGGAGAGGGGACGGACCCGTCCTCTCTTTAAGGCTTAGTTCTGAGGTAAGCATCCAAATTGTGGCGGTTCTAAGGACCGAGTTGAAGTAGTCCGTCGACCGTCGGGGACCCCATCCCCTCCCCAACATTCAGCATACGGCCCCAGCAGAAAACGCCAAAAGGGCTGGTTTGCTTACTTCATTCGTTCCGACAACGTATCTAGCATACACAGGCTCCATGGTTACGTGGTGATTGGTGATGAGGCTTTTTCTATATGAAAGTTTTTTACGGATGGGGCTAACAAGAATTGGAGTTATTGATGTGTGCCCGAAGAGGGTAACCGATGTTTTTGCTAAGAACAGGGGAAAGCGGGGGTGTAGAGTGCGGGGTTGTGGTAAGTTCGAGAATCGACGGCTTACGTGAAGGTTGACGGTAAGCCAGGGAGTGCCTTAAACGCATCATATTCCTCTGGAATCTGATGGATGTTCGAGGTTATCTTGTCTCCAAATACACAGTGACACAGGATCGTGTGTAGACGAAAAAAGGAGTCGCTTGCCACGACGCTTATCGTAAAGTTGGATTTCTCACAGGTTGCCGCCTATGTAATTATGATATGCTCTCCATGAATAGGAGAAGAAATTCCTCTATATGGAGTCATCCATATAGAAGGACTTTTTCGACAGACTCCATGCGGAAGACTCCGTGAGCGAGCTCAAAGGCAATTTTCAGGATTCTCAGAATTACACTGATGTGGTCCCGCTCAAATACAAAAGTAGGGGCTGGTCGCAAGAACATGATGTATGAAGTTGAATGCTGAGAAAAGGGAAGGGAATAGTCAAGAACACAGGAAAGCGAATTCAGAACAGGAAGTATAATATTTTTGCTCTAGTGCGCGGAAGAATCAGAACAGGCAGAGATGAGAGTTAATGCCGAGTCGAGGAAGCAGGTACAGGAAAACGAGCAGAAGAGCATAGCCGATCACATTGCGATACAGAGGTATGTGCGAGACGGATGTACGGTGGTTCGATTCTCGTTGGATAGGATCTGCGAGACAAGCGGCAGCGGGCTTGGAGAGGTTTTTCAATGGCGGAAGGTGGCGACTCTTGGGTTAACGGACCACAACATTTATCACATGAGGGACCTGAGTGGTAAGACCCGACTTGCTTTTGCAGAAGCTATTAGTTTAATGTAGGGCTACGTAGGTTGAGAACTTGTTCTACGAGACACTACTCAATAAGCTCAGTTTCTGAAGAGAATGTGCTCGAACTGTGTCGATAATGCCATCCTACAGTGAAACAAGGGCCATGGTACAAGATGCCGAGCACGGCGGCGCTAAAAGTTGATAGACAGATGTAACGATTTGGTGTGGTGGCGATTGTTTTGGCTGAGGAGATAAATGTTGTCTGCATGTAGGTTCTAGCTAAATAGTGAACGTTATCACCACATCTAACAATCGAATGTGTCGCTATCCTATCACTGACGGCTAAGGTAGCACGATGATGTGGCCGAAGCAAAACTGAGTATCCCAAGTGCATGGTGCCAGACGCTTTTTATTCTAGGATCGAATGGCCTTGGGGAGATTTAGGTACCCATGTCTCATGTATTACATAGCGTTTACACGCTATAGGTATGCAGAGTTAAGGCTAGGCAAGGGAAAGGAAATTGGTGGCAAGCAAATAGGGATCATGTTGCTGGAGGAAGACGGTTCGTAAATTGGAGGATATGAGAGAAAATATTTATCTAAAGGGTGGCAACTTATGGGACGAGCGCGTTTGCGGTTAAGGAAAACCCGGGATTTAGAGTGATTAGTGGGAAGCATACGCGTAGGGATCGTGGTATGATCTATAGACATAAATCATGCCAGATGCTTTGTCGTTTCCTATTGCGCGATTAGGGGCATATGAGAAAGCGGGGGCTTGCAACCATTGATCCCTTTCGCAAAGCGCTCAACACGCACTGCGATGATTGTAAGAGATCGGCGTGTTACTTGAACGGGCGTGCTGCTCTCATGTGTTTGGTGTCTTTTGATCGCCTAGCTGCCGCGTACAATATCCGGGGTTGAGCCTTAATTTTTGTTTTCCACATGATTTTCACTGCTTTTCATGTCATTTAATTCATATCCGCGAAGCTCGATCATCAGACGAAGCGCCTTATACATCAGTTTCCGTGCTTGCCCTTTGAAGAGTGCACCGCCCCAGAATTGCGGAGCGTAGCAGTTACCCTCGGACGAAGTGAATTTTTTGTTACGGTCCACGTCAGACAAATGCCCTTCTGAGTTGGCTCGGGGTGCGCGATTTTGTCTTTGATTTTTTTCGTAGCTGCACTTGCTTAGCAGCTCTCGGTTCATTCACAGATGCGTACCATTATCGTACATGCGACTTGGAACAGCACAGACAAAATCTATTAGGTCGGTCAAAAAGTATCCGCCGTTTTGCACCTCGATTAGTCCCCTGCATTTTTTGATAGTTTCTTTCGCAACTATTCAAACAACTTGGGTGTCATTTTATAGAGGAAGATCAGCCCTTTCATATTCATACGAAGGTTTGAGGTGATTCCGAGAACATTTGTCGTTTTACCCTCCTTTTAGGATAAGCAAAATCGTGATTTTCGATTGTTGCCACTTCATGTCTTCAAACTTGGAATAGACACGCCAGGGCCAGCTCGTAATATGGCGACTGCATTGAGAAGGAGTGCTGCTAGGAAACGCATAGCGCAAGATTAGCTCGGCAGGCTTGGGGCCTGGAGAATAGTCGAATTTGAGGCGATCGAGTATATAGGAGTGCCTCAATGTACTGGATTGAAAAAGAAAT